AAAAATGGAAGCAATTAAAAAACGTGCGAGAAGAAATAAAGTTTTTAACCTATCCTCGCTGTTAAAGTATCATTTAATCTACCCTTGCGGTTAAAGTACTATTTTATCTACTATTTTTGATAGATATAAGGCAATTTTAACAGTTGCCATGGAAAAAAATAAATTAATTTGATCCACAATCAAACAATAATGAGTTTTATCCACCCATATGAAGGGGATATTTTACTCTTATAAATTTATAAGGTTCAGCATTATTTATACATTCTAATTAAATTGAGGAAATTATTGCCACATCACTGCGGGTGCTAAAGACAATACTCCGCGATTAGAGACAATAGTAATTAATTTTAGTATCAATACTATCTGTGATAGATACAAGCTTGCTGTATCTATCAACAGACTATTGTCATCTTAACAATAGGCATTAGTTATTTTATTAAACTTAGCTCTGTTGGGATTTCTCAAAACATGTAGGTAGATACATGAACTATAATATGTTATGTATAAACATAATGTGGGTATTACTAGTTATTTGATATAAATAACATCAGCTTAAATTCTACAATAAAGGGAAATTAAAACAATTTTCGTTGCACGTCATCAATAACACCATGCATCGTCTTATGGAGTTTGCTGATGGTCGTATTATTATGTGCAACTAAAGTTATTTTAATTTTCCTATATATGCATTTTCTTAAAACGTTACTTACTTACTTACTGCCATTACTCGCTGACGAGTATTTGACATGCATCAGAAGATGGTCACGCAAGGCGTTTTCTCTCATGAGCTTTTCTGTGACTGAAAAGCCCGATACGTGATGCTATCTCTCTTGCGCACTTCGGATATACAAAAATCTCATTACTTTGTTGCCTCTTTACTTTTTGGTTGTCGCTGTTAACTGAGTTTACAATTCTCCTCCATCTGCACTTCTACTCTATCTGCACTTATATTTAAAATTTACCCTGTAGATAGGTAATATATATTTTTTGTTAAAGGTTACAGCAAGAATAAACAGCCCGTACGCTAACCCCAGTGGAACAGACCCTGACTTGCAAATATTCTTCGCGGGCTACACAGCCCATTGCGCTTCTTCTGGATCGGTTGGCGATCCGGAAGATCCAGAGGATCCAGATGCCAAAAAGGAGTTTACATTTTCACCAGTTGTTCTACATCCAAAGAGTAAAGGGTAAGCATAGAATATACACACTGTTTCATAGAAGAATCCACACTAAATGTATCTGGTAAAACAGAAGAAATACAGAGATAATTAATTTAGAAAATAGTTCTAATGACGTCATGTTGTGACACTTTGTCATGTTGTCACAATTTGTGTTCTTGATGTTCCCGTTTCAGCAGTCACTGTTTCTAAATGCGAAGAAACAAAATACCTAACTAAAATAGTCTGCATACGTATTTCAAAATGAAAACAACCATCAACAATGTCAACCTCCGCCATAATTTTTTTGTCTTGAAATCTTTGTTTTTATGTTTTTTTCGCACAAAAAACGTGTGGAAAAAGCTTCTTCTTTCTCTGCTGATCCATTAATGGATGTTTGCGACCACACTTTCCATGGCTTCCCTATCTCTGGCTGTGTGGATCAACGTCTGTATGTTACTAATGCCTGTCCACTGTCTTATGTTCCGCAGCCATGACATTTTTTTCCGTCCCTCGATCTCTTCTGCCCTCGATCTTGCAAAAGCAAGTTCATCGTTTAATTTAATAATGTACTTCCATATTTTTAATGCCCCTCCTATAATATATCATTATTTGTTGCTACAAGATATTTTTATTTGAAATATAGGTCTTTATTTCTATATCATGGTTCTAAAATAAAAATATATAAATCAATGTAAGTAGAACGCGTTCATATGAGTTTAAAAGCTCAACAGCCGCTAAAAAACTAAAAACATATATTTTTAGTTAAAAACGCTATCACTAACCAACATGGCGGAATTTTAATTCATTATTTTATAAAATTGGCATGGAGTCGGACACAAATCATCTACATTAATCATATTTGTGTGTAAAAAGGGAGAAACTCGTTTTTCGAAAATGAATCGGCAATAAATCGAAAACTTGTTTCTAAATGTTGCGATTTACCGCTATCTGTGTAGAAATTTGGAACTAGTCACCTGTCAACAACGCCAATCAAAATTTCTAGTCAAAATAATGTTTATTTACATATTATAGAACAATTAAAACATAAAAACATGTATGTCATTGTGGAAAAAAGAGAAAAAACGTTTGCTGGTAACATTTTTCTTCGGTATCCTGTTGGGTATGGGTAGTATTACATTTATTCCTAAAACAAATAATCTCTGTAATGAGTATAATAAATAATTATAAAATCACATAAGAAAAATATCTGTATTTGTACTCACAATTTGTCCTTCTGCTTTTTTAATTATAGTACTATAAAAACTTTAAGAATGCTTAAATACAAAAAGTGCAGAATAAAATCCAAACAATAAAGTAAGGTTATGTTCTCATATTTGACAGAATATCAAATAAATTATGGAAAATTTTTAGGCACAAAACGGGTACGAAATCTGTAAATGTGAGCCACATATGTTTCTTAAAAGTTTCGAAAATTTTGAGACACTAAGATCTTTATTGTTATAGCTTATGTAGCGAAACTCTGGGTGGGAACCAAAAAAAAAGCAACCAAGAAAGGATGTACAGGGTGAGTCAAATTCGACGCTTTTAAAGGGAACACCCTTTTCTATAGGAGATAGACGAAAACTAATATCGGTGTCTGGAGCTCAATTTTTATCAAAAACATGATGGTGAAAACCACACGATATATGTTACCGTTTATGCGTTACAGGGTGTTTTTCAAAAAAGTGCATTTTTAATAAATCGCTGTAACTTTTTTGCTATAGAAAATTTTGTATTTTTGTAAAAACATTTCCAAGGCACTTTTTTACGTAGATGATAAATTTCCCAGCGAAAAACTAATTAGCCACTGTATCTTACGTGAAAATCTCTACAGGATACAGTTTTCACCTTTTCTATAAGTTATAATTCAAGTTAAAATTCGATAAGAAAATCAAAGAGGGGTCGAAAAATGGAACATTTTAAAATTCCTGTGTATTTCCGGTACTACCCCTTGTATATCAGGAACTTCAAAAGTTCGGACAAAAACTGTAAAAAATCTGCAAAAAGTAAAAAAACACTAATAAATGACCACATCTTTTTAACAAAATAACGTAAATGACCACATCTTTTTAACAAAATAACCACATCTTTTTAATTCCACTCATAAACGAGAAACCCCATAAAACACGCAAAAATTGGACACCCTGTACATTTATAATAAATCAATTTGAAAACTTTACCGACCACATCGTTACAAATATAACCTAGATAAATTAACTAGGCATTTTAAAGTTTCATGAATTCCGAGATTGCGATCTAATACATCTTCATAAACTGTTCCATTATGTAACAGAGCGCCGAGATAAAATTCCAGCATTTTCTTCATTATTGCTCCTGTATGTTATAATGTACTGCCTCGCTGCACATTACAACTAGTGAGCCGTTAAATTTTCATATGCGGTCAGTTAGTACGGCACACTGCACTCGTTTCGCTCAAATAATGTAAGAACTAATATTAAGCTCTGTGTTCGCAGCCATGTTGGACACTTGACATGTCAAACTGTTTGAGATTTGTCTATTATTAATATCTGGGGTGAATTGTGTTATTAGAAGTGTTTCTGTTATTTACTAGGCATTTGGAACAAATTTATTAATTTAGTAATAGATATTTACCTTATTTTTTGTTTTGTTTTTGTTTATTAGATTTGTATGTTTATAGATATTTACTTTATATTCCTAATATCCTGGTCCCATCTCAGATCTGGTCTTCTTCTAGGTGGGTACCATATTGTAATTTTTGTGGTTCATCTGTTGTCCGTCCTTCTTGACAGGTGTCCTGTCCATTGGCACTTAAGGGATTTAATTCTGTGGATGACATCTATTACCTGGGCCTTTTGTATTATCCACTCTATTCTTTTACGGTTTTTTTTTGGCTATTTTCAACTCTTTCTGCTTGTTTCCTCAGTCATGAGAGTCGTGACCTCTTTGGAGGTCACCCTTGGATACCTCTATTTTTTACTACAAAAGTCCTGGCAATGAGTTCTGCTGTTTAGTCCTAGTGAATATCGAACAGCTCTCTTCTGGAGCTTGAAAATGCGGTCAAATTGAGTCGCACAACACGTACCCCAGAATAAAAGGGCACATCTGAGGTGTGGCTCAAATAGTGCATAATAAACAGTTCTAGCCACTGAGAAGTTAAGCTCCTTAGAAACAGATCTTAATGCAAAACAGGCAGAGCTTAATTTTTTCGACAAAGCGTCGATATGCATGTCCCCTTTTAGAGAATTGTCTACAACAAGCCCTAAGAATTTTACAGATTTTACGACGTCAATGGTGGTGTTGTTAAGTACAAAAGGCTGCAGCGAGTTTTTTTGGTTATGTATGAACTTTTTTATATTTTGGTAAGTCTCAGCATCTCACTTTTGGCCAAGGCTATTTTTCTTTTACCTTCCTCTACGCATCCGCTCATGTTGCTGATTATTGACCCCAGATATATAAAGCTGCCTTACCCTTTCGAGATTGTCAAGCAGGTGAGTCCTGTTTACGAAGTTAGGCTTATCCACTAGCATTAGTTTTGTTTTGGGTCTGTTTATTGTTAGACCAAACTTTCCACTCTCTAGCTCTATTCTGTTTAAGGGAACCACCATTTCCTCCTCTGTGGCAGCAAATATGGTGATGTCATCAGCATAGCGTACGTTGCTTATTTGATCTACCCCAACAAGAATTCCATATATACAGTGTGTCTACATAGAACTTGCAAAAATAAAACAAAAAGTTCATATCAACTTGTAAGATTTAAAGCTCCCTTTTCGAGATACAGGGTGTTAAAGTTACTTAAAAAAGAAAAAAAAAATAAGATATTTGAAAAACTATTTAATCGATTTTGATATAACTTGACCCGTTTATAATACTTACTAGGGGACTTAATTTGATGTAATTAAATTTAAGTTTAATGGCCAGGGGCGGCGGTGGGGCATCACTGTTAAATTATTTTATAGGAAAAAATAGGCACGCCACTGCTTTTTTAGACGTTTAATATTATTTTTGGATTTAGTAATTAAAAATATAATTTTTTCGTCTCCTGACTTTTTGGTCTATCTTGCTTACTTCTTGCGAAAAAAGTTAAATTCTAATTGGTAATTAATATTATAATTGGGCTTCTAATGGTACCCTGTATCTCGAAAAGGAAGCTTCAAATCTTACAAGTTGATATGAACTTTTTGTTTTGTTTTTGCAAGTTCTATCGTCTATTAAATTTTCCCGATTAAAATCTGAGACACTATTTTTATTATCACACACATTATCTATCTGTGATTATTTTTAGTTTTGATAAAGACCACTTTTATAATTTTAAAATTTCAATTATTTAAGGACGACATATAAATATTTAGTAAATGTTGATGTCTGTTTGCGACAAACAATTTAAAATAGCAATTTAGAGTTGTTCATTTCGAGTTTAATTTAGTAATAAACAAAAAGAGTTCATAAACTTTAGAATAATAATGAGCAAATTCGAAAACATTTATAAAATGTTCATACTATGACTAATAAATTATTTTTTTTACTGAAAACTGTTTTTTTTTCAGTTGATTTTTATATTTACTCATAACTGTAATTTAATACTTTGTTACGAAGTGATCGAATGAAAACTGTAAATATCTATAAAATATAGACTAAAACTATACTGTTTGGACTCAACATATACAAGCGAAATGTAAACAAATCGTTTGTTTATTACAGTTTCATTTGACCACTGACTTAATATAATCTTTTTACAAGATTATATTAAGTCATTAAGTTAAAAGTGACTGGATTCTCCATGTCAAAATGTACAACGAAGAACGTTAAAATAATTTTTTTTTATCTAGATATGTTGCACTTCACTCAAATAATCCATTCGATCCTCCCAAAATGGTTGCCAACTACTTGACAGAACCCGAAGATGTCAGAGTGCTGATTGCTGGCATAAGGGTAATTCAGCAAATAGCAAACAGTACCATTATGGTACAGAAGTACGGGATGCAAATAGATGAGACAGAATATGGAGACTGCGCAGTCAAAAATAGGTTGGTTTATAGTATCATTGCTATTCTACCTTGTGTCAATGCTGAAATTATAGAGAAATAGGTAAACCAATTACCAGAGTTGGATGACGACTATGAAATACAACGTTTTAAATGTTTATACTATGTTTTTAATAAATGTTTATTCTATGGTTTTAATTTTTAATCATAAAATGTTTTATTTAACTGTGGCCAAAATTTTGTACCAAATTATCAGTTGTCGATATTGTCGACGTTGACGTCACTTAGTAATTCGACGTCGCCATCATTTCTTAGTTAACCTATCAACAATTAACTTGTCGACGTGACATTCTCGATGGCACACAACTCTGTCAATTACTTTTGGGTGTAATTTTCGCTGTTAACGCTAGAACATACGAGTAATTTAAAAATATTCATATACTGTCGAATAATTATAGGCGCAGTAACTTTTAATAATTTGTTTTAGATACGACTCTGATGAATTTTGGGACTGCGCTGTGAAATACTACACAGGGCCAGAGAACCACCAAGCTTGTTCGTGTCGTATGGGTCCTAAATCTGATCCAATGGCTGTGGTCGATAACAAATTATTAGTCCATGGTATGACGAATTTGCGGATTATGGATGCATCAGCTATGCCGTTGCTGGTATCTGGAAACACCCACGCTACCATCGTCATGATGGCAGAAAGAGGAGTTGATTTTATTAAAGAGAAATGGTTGAATGGAGGTGGGATCGCTAATAGGTTTGGTGGAGAGAGTCAAGCGAGTAATCAAAGGGTACCTGCAGTTACATCACCTCCAGTAAGGTCAGTTTTATGTAAACCATTTTTTTTTTAATTTG